GTTGATGCACCTCCACCCCTACCAATTAGTTTTATCAACATCGTAAATGTTGACACCATACGTGCCACTCCAAGAGGAGGTGCTCGAGATGTGCAAGCAAATGTGACGTAAGGCTATAATGGAAGAGAAAGAGACAGTGTGTGAAACATTACGCAATGCCATAGGTTTGAGTTTGAAAGACCTGAGGTCCTTTTTCCGAGGCGACTCCTCTTATCTACGAGGTGTACTTGGGATTAAACCCTCTTGGACCAACTGATGAAGCTATTTCATTTATTACCATGAGGGAGGTAAGTAAGGCAGGGTATTGTTTATTGATTTTTATACCACATTCTGTTTTATTTCAGCCTCGTGGCTATAAAGTACAGGAATTTACTGGTATACCTTTGACAACGGAAATATTTATGGCCTTCTTACAGGTATAGCTATTACTCTTCTCTTCATAACGTGGTAGAATATATTGGTTCAATTTTGCCTTTAGATTCGTTCGTATCAGTTTGCTGACTTTCCAAGCAACTGGAGTGATCCTATGGCTGTACAAATAACAGGTAGATTAACGTCTTGCTAACTCTCAAACCACATAAAAAAGAAACTAGCCTGTTTTAGGGTTCAAAGCTAGTCCAATATACAGGGGTGTCAATCTGGCGCTATGGCGCTAAAATCAGCGCCAAGCGCAATTTTAAAGCGCCAGACAGAGAAAATGAAGCGCCGGGCCCTAGCCGCCAAAGCTTGCCTACGCGTCTCTGCGCAATACGGGCACACGCGAACGTGGAGTTACCGGTTGTTAGCTGAACTTTGCAATTGGGTGTAGCGCCAAGGCCGTCTCTGGCGCCATGTTTTTGGCCCCAGAGATTTTGCAGGTTGACACCCCTGAATATAATAATTATGCACAGAGTAAAGTCTGCTTGTAGTAACAGCAGTGCATGATTAGGTTAATGAACCTCATAGTCTGCAACTTACTCCACGGTCAAAGATCAGAGTACCCACAGAAGAATAACAGCAGTTAGGAGTGTACTACTTTTGTGTTATGTGCACTGTATGAAAGGTTTATTGTGACTTGCGTGGGCGGATCAAAGGTGCCGCGCATACTCTTATTTCCCGTATTGTAGTCACGTTCAATATGGCCAATATTGAACGTTCAATACAAAAAGTATTGAACTATCATCAGCATCGTACACATAGTGTAGACAAAAACTGTTCTGTAGAGGCTGTAGAGGCGAGGGATGGCTGAGGCGACCACACGCCTTCATTCAGCTATCTCTTGCTCCCCCCTGGGCAGCCAAACAACACCCCCCCCCAAACACCCCCCCCCAACCCCAACCCCCCCCCCCCACCACCCCCCCAACACCCCCCCCCCCCACCACACCCCCAACCACCCCCACCCCCCCACACACACAAAAAACACCCCCACCCCCCCACCCCCCCCCACCCCCCCCCCCACCCCCCCCCACCCAAACACACCCCCACACACCCCCCACCAACACCCACCCCCACCCCCAGAAGAGAAGGCGTCGGACAAGCGGAAATGTCTGCGATGGTTATTTAGGACCAACCACAAACAACCAACCCAACCACACCCCACAAACCCCCAACACCCCCCCTTTTACTATGTTTGACGAATCTTTCAAAGGCCAGCGACCTATGAACGAGTTTCTCCTGATGGAGAAAGAGCCACCCTCACTACCTGTTCGATGCGGTAGCCTCAGCACAGAACTCGCTCGAGAACAGTGAGTGCGCACGTGCGCATGCTATATGTCGTCGCATTTCTCTCTCGCTGGAGGTCGGCGGCTGCTACAAAGTCACAATAAAACACATAATGTGCGTCCTATCGTTCTATACATGACTTATGGGAACTCGGGTTGTGGTCTCGAGACCCATACAGCACTCGGCTGCGCCTCGTGCTGTGTATGAGTCTCTCGACCACACCCCTCGTTCCCATAAATCACGTATAGAACTCTAAACGCACATTATCTCTTACGTAAACAAAGAGCTGAACATATTGAGAACAGACCATGCCACTGACAATCATCTGGCCATTATTGTAGTAGGCATGTCAGTTAAGTAAAATAATGTTTATCAGTTGGACAACTGTCATTGTGCTCTTTCTCTCTACTTCTAGCTACCTCTCCAGTTGTGGCGAGGGTGAATGACTCAGTTCTTGGTAACCCCTGGTTCACAGTGGCCATCCCTGGTCCTGAAGACCGCTCCCTATGCTACCAGGTCACGAGAGGCCGGCCACTACTTCAACCTCATCTCAGACACCTGCGTCTCTGCCAATGCCTACTACACTGCCATGCCGTCCAACACCAGGAGAAACAGAGTGAGCAAGATTGGAGTGAAGGCCTCGTCAGGAGGCCCTGAGGGGTGTGTGGAGGTGGAGGTTGATCTGGAGCTCTGTGTGGCACGGGTGGGAGGGAGAGAAGTGGATGGGTCTGTCACCATTAGTCAGGTGAGGGTGAGTCGAGTGAGGACGAACCTGTGGAGGGTGGCGGTACCCAACTGCCAGCAGCCGGGGCTGGTAATGTGGGTCACCTGCATGTCCGACAGACTCCGCTTCGACGTGAACAGAGGCTCCAACCTTCGACCCGCCTCCCATGGCCTTATCGGTCAGTCTCACCAGACAACCGTCTCCATCATTTTCCTCCAATCTCACTCCATTTTTCCTTTCCTCAACCACTGCTTGAGATAAAGAGATTATTTCCCTCTACACCACTCGTTCTTCTTCATCTCTACTTGTCCTCTTCTTTTTAACCATTATCTTCTTTTTTCTCTTCCTCCTCTTCTTCTTTCTTCTTTTTCTTCTTTTTCATCTTCTCTTTCTGTTGTTTTTCTTCTTCTTCATCTTCGTCTTCATTTTTGTCTTGGCCTTTTTTCCTCTCCGTCTTCTCTTCTTTCTCTTCTCCTCCTCTTCATCCTCCTTTTATTTTCCTGCCCCTTTTCTCTCTCCTACTCTCTCTTCAACTACCTAACCTTCTCCCTATTTCTCCGACTGTAGGTCAGTTCTGGAACATCCCCATATCAGTGGGTGACCTTGACTCCGACAGTTCTCCAGACATAGAACTCTACCAGCCAGGCCACCCCAGCTACCGCCACTTTCCTGCTTTCTTCTACCCCCTTGTCTGGGATCTCTCTGATGACGGCTGCTACTATGTGGGCAACTCCCAGGGTGGCCCCGAGAGGTCACGTGACCCAATCAACTCTGTGATTGAGGGGTCTTACTCCCAGTACATTGTTGATGGACTATTTGATACAGAGTTTTTCTTTGGACAGTTTGATGAAAGGTCCTGCTGACCCTGAAATCTTCCTTAACTTGTAGCACTGGTTGCTGAGTAATGAACAATGAACCTTTTTATACAGTATAATGTTGATTTATATAGCTGGTAACAGAGAAGAATGAAGAAATCATGAAAGACCTTTTCTGATTGCGAAAAAGTGAAAGAGGAAATGTATCTTAGTGAAATAGTCAACTTTTGAAGCAAAATCCCATATGGAAAGATATCACTGGAGTGATTTCCAAAAGCATTTCGGACACTGTCATTAGAACTGATAATTGGAGATTCTGAGAACACCTTTCACGTGGGATTTGTAGGTAGTGCTATAGGTACGCTGAATACTCAGATTGCTTCAGTATAATTATAGGTCTCAGTTTAATCTCTGATGGATTGCTGGTTGTGCACCCTTCTTGGCTTACGTACTGTAATAGAAATATTTCCTGTGTAAAAGAGGAAAATTTCCACTACAATTGCAATGGACTGTCCTTATGGGCTTAAATATTGCTGAAATGTGTTGTTATAAAAGACTTGCTCTTCAGCAAAGTTTCAACCAAACTAGGTAGCTAAATAGGTGGGTACTGATGATGTAGCTAGTATAGCTAGGTTCAGTATGTGGCATCAGTGAGACTATATACTGTAATTGCAGAAGTAAGATTAGAGTCTAAAATAATTGTTTGGTTCAGGACTGTGGCTTGTGCATTTGGCTATCTAGGGGTAATAATGCAAACCCTCGGCGAACTGCGCATGCGCGATACTGCTAAATTAATGGCTGGGCTATTAGTGCGTTTACTCGTGGTCTCCCGCTAGTAGTGCGCGGAGAGTCTGACACGGGCTAGCTACAGTAGTATATAGCATGCTGGAGTTGATACATGCCATTCGTTGTGACTCCCTGAGCCCCCAAGGTACACCGAGAGAGCGGATCAGGTCGCCAGTGCGATTATGCATATTGGCTTTTTCGCTTGTTTTCAAGGCATATCTCTCGAACGCAGTCGTTTCAGGAAAATCGCCCTTTTACTTTTCAGGCTCGTGAAATTCTGAAGCTGCTGGTATCGCTAATGGGCCGCTTCGTAGCCTGTAGTGCCAGAATAAGCGTCGACACACACCACACACACACAGAGACTACAGTAACCCTCGCTGCGCATGCGCGCCGAGGGTAATAAGTCTACTGAAACGTAAGGTCTTCCACCATCAGTACGCTACTGGGAGAAGATGCTGCTATGTGTGCTAATATAGCGAGAAAACCACTTCATTATCATTGAATTCCACGCTGATTGCGCAGGCTCGATCCAGAAGCCACCGCAAAAATTCACACTATCCCGGACGCGACAACGCAGCGCCTCAAATAGCCCGCGCCTACCCGCGTGTGCAAAACTGCAACGATTTTCAGAAGCAGACGAGCACACGCTATCTACTGACTTCATAGCTATTTTTCTACAGCCGTCCGAGCTGACAGTCGCTGTTTGTGTGTGACGACGGAGCGAGCATGGCCTCGTCACCCTTCTCGTTTTGTCTCGTCCTGACGCTCGTGTTTGTCTGGCGAGTGGAGGGTCAGAACTGTGACAGTACCTCCGCGCTCAGTGATTCCAGCCACTCAGTCGTGACTGGGAATGCAGAAGAAGCGAGGGTCGCCGCATTTTGCCACGTTGCCTGCATCAACTACTTCTTCCGATCCATGAGCGGGAACGGCACCAACGACACCAACATGGACAACAACACGTCTATCGACGGCCAAAATGATACAGTGGTCGAAGAAGAGTCCACGATGCCGGTAGGCAACTAAAGTCGTAGGAAATGCAAGTGCTTTTACGGTAGTTTATCTCTATGTAGGGGGTGTATGTGTTCACACGTTGCCGCGACCTACGAAAGGTACGTTCGATGTTCGTTGTACGTTTTTATCTATGGTTAGCTCTAGATGCTAGATATTATTTGTTTTCTCCACAGTATCTGGACTGTCGCAGTGGGTGTATTGCACAATCAAACAACAACTGTGGAAATTGTGTAAGTGAAAACAGAATAATTATTTGTTGCTTAGCTAGTGAAATTTTGGATTTCTCGTGTATTACAGAGAGGAAGATGTCAAGACTTGTGCAGATTTTCTTCCTGTGAATTTCGCAGGACTTGTGATTGGAAATCAGTGTGGTGCTCAATGTGATGTAAGCACAATTTGCTTTTGTAATCTCAACGCTAATCTGTACCTTATTACAGACCAATGACTGTAATAATGGATGCCAGCGTACTATTCCTTCAGGTATGATAGCTGACATACTAAAACTCTCAGTAGCTAAAATGGTTTGCTGTTTATGCAGATGTTTTAGAAAAGCCATCGGCACCCCCTGTGCTGACCCCCATGAGTGATACATCGTTGTTTGATGTCGATGTACCCATGGAACTGGAGATGTTTGAAAAGCCGTCTGTTGTCTTTCAAATTGAGTATCGCCCAGGAGTGTTTGTCTACCATTGGATGGTTGATGTCATCATGACGTCGTTTACGGAGATAACAATTGCAGATTTCCTTCTTGACCTCACCAGCTTTCCAGCAGAAAGCAGGCTCAATGTATCGTTTGCCTATGCCACTGAAGAATCAGGCCTCTCCACCTTCTCTGACCCTACTGAAATACAACTGTCAGGTATATTATACTGGGATAACTCTTATCATTAATAACACAAAACTGTTCTACATAATAGGGACATGTTCTGTCAGTGCATTGACCGAGACTCAAGTTAGTATTACCAGCGACCGAGATACGCGAGCAGGATTTTTCAATCACCCTGTGCTGAACGTAACCTGGTGTCCAACTTCATGTAAGTATATGTACAGGTATGAGATGATAACTAATCCCTGTGCCCCTCTTGAGCTAGGTCCTGAGGGAGTGCAGAATTATACTGTCACCAGACGCAACTGTGATGAAGAAGTATCTGAGACTGTTAATTCTGTGAGTGGAATATGTCTTAGTGTGGTGGTATATACTGTTTCTTCTTTAGACCACATCACGTGTGTTGCTGAGATCCAAGTCCCCAGGATTTTTCATTCGCCCTTGTACAGTGAGAGTAGAGGTACAAATTCTAATCATGGTTGACATCAAGATCATATGATCCGTAGTAACTGTACTTGTAGGTGAAAACCTTTCTTGCAAACGGAGGTACACAGCTGGTCTCCAGAACATTAACATTATCAAATGGTGAGAGGTCTATATAGTCTCATGATTTTCATCGTTACACAAAATTTGTTTTATACAGCTAATTCAGTGGTCTTCCCTGAGCTAGAGCTTTCATGTTCAGCTGCTTACGATAGAGAGGAAGAGAAATATGTATTGGATTCACAGCTCACAGCTCCATTCTCACCTGCTACTCTCAGCAATATTGAAGTGTTTGTAATTCGCTGGGATTCTTTCCTGAAACCACAACAGGTGTCCGTGACCCAACAGCTGTTGCACTTGGTCTATTTCGTATAAATATACCTGTGAGTTCTACAAACACATTTTTCAACTTATCAATAACTTCTGTTAACTTTTATAGGTAAGTGTGAACCAGACAGTGTATCATTTCTCGCAACAGTTGGAGCCATTTAAGAATCAATCACGGTTCTACCGAACCTCTGTGAGTATTATGATGTAAACACCTACATGTAGGTCTAAAAGTTGATCAAAATGTGTTTTTTCATTTTAGGTGTTAAATTAAACTTTTTTCACAGATTTAACATTCCTACCTATTCTTTCTAGGTCGAAGTGTTTTGGAGGGAGGGTAGGGGCTTGCCTGCCCTCTCTATAAACTGTGAGGTGGATGGGGTTGATGCACCTCCACCCCTACCAATTAGTTTAATCAACATTACAAACCGCGATACTGGACGTGTCACACCAACAGGTGACGGTCGGGACGTGGAAGTAACTCTAAGGTAAGAGACTCACTCAGTGGCCCAAGCGAGAGACAGTGTGTGTAACATCTGCAATGTCATAGGTTTAAGTTTGAAAGACCCGAGGTCCTGTTTTCTGAGGCGACTCCCCTGGTCTACGAGGTGTACTTGGGATTAAACCGTCTTGGACCAACTGGTGATGATCAAGTTTCGAAAACGGGGGTAAGAGATTGTTGGCATTTCTACACATTAACTTTTACGACTTTATTTTTCCTTTTCTAGCTCCGTGGAGATATACTGCGGACATTTCCCGCATCATTAAATGAGGACATGATAAAGACCTACCTGCGGGTACTTATAATATTACTCTCATCTGCGGATTTCATCTTGTTTAATAATCATCCGAATGTACCCAATAGATTCGCTCATACCAGTTTCGTGACTTTCCAAGCGACTGGAGTGACCCGATGGAAGTCCAGTTCTTAGTTCTTCCGATACCAGGGCCTGCCAATGATCTCGCAGTCCAACTGAGTCAGGTGAATGTTGAACACCGGGAGCTAGGGGCATATATACTGCTGAGTGGAGACGTTACTTGGACCTGGAGTCGAGCTAACTCAGAGTTACCAGGAGCTGCAGTGTTTGACCACTTCAATGTTATAATCGGACCGGCATCTTACACACATGTAAGTCAAGTAGCTTTTCAAACGACATTATAATGAGTGTAATTGTCTGAGCAGATGAATAGGACTTTTCCTCTGGATCAAGCAGATATTCTTCTTCCAGACGACTTCATGTTAGACCTTCCCTTCAGCGTAAGTTCATGTCCTAAAGCTCATGTTTTGTGTTAGTCACAAATTTTTACACAAAATTTTCAGGTATCTGTAAGAGTTTCATGGGAGGAAGAAACACAGACAAGTGATCCCAGGACACAGACGAAGAGGATTCGCCCCGTGCCTCCCCCACGAAACATCATCATTACACCTCTGAACCCCAGACTCATTGCCGATGGGTCACAGACCATGCTCTCAGCAGATGTGGTGGTGCAATGGGCTAGCCCCGGATTAGAGGATCTTGCCAAATACGAGATCAAAGTCACAACCGATCCTAATGGCCTGGAAGAGTTTGGTGAATTTTCAAAGTCTCACGACTCTGTTGCTCCTGGTTCCACACAGCTGATAAAGAACTTCACAGAAGTGGAAGACGATCCACAGAATCCTCGGATAGTTGTGCAGGTACGCACGCACGCAGCCCAAGCAGGAGGGTTTGCTAAAACAAACAGAGTAGCATTCCTACTCAGTAGAGTAGTAGTATATAAAACGACTTCACTCCAAAGAGCACGTGTACATAAAAATAGCCCTGCCATGCTGGTGTTTCTGTTCTTGTCCTACAGATGAGATCAATGATGAAAGACTTGGTGAATGGAGACACAATCTTTCTCCCACGATGGAGTGATCCAGAACCAGTCTCCATAGATATCCTCTCTCCGCCTGCAATCAGCAGTCAGCTCCTGTCATATAGCCTCGTACCCGCTGAAGAGAAATCTCTGTCAGTACGTCCGTCAACCTTATCTGGGAAAGGACAGGGGAGGGTGACGAGATAGAGAGATACGAAGTCTGGGTGGGCTCCAGGGCCCTTGCAGAGTTTGAGCAGCCAGACAATGAGGACTTTGGACAGATCTTCATATTTCCGGTAATAAAACAGTATGTATAATTACTGCTTATATTGACTGTATTGATTTTTGATGTGCAATTGTTTGTGCATGGAACTGTTGGGCTAAACGCGGGTTGTCTTTTCTTAAAACTAATCTGGTGAGCTGACAAACATGAGCCAAGTTATTTACGTTGGCAGAGGTCTTGCTAGTATTGAAACTCTCCTACATGAGTAACCAGATAAAGTATACTGTGTTGTGTGGGTGTAAGAATCTCTACTAGGGAAGTGGTGGATGACTACACTAACTGTACCCACATCAGGTGGGAGAGCACAGCAAACATCACCTCCTACCAACCCTACCTTGTATACTGCAGAGAAACCTTACTCTCTACTGTTACTACATAGATATTCTGCGTATGTACTGCTCACAGCCCTTACTGCCTACTGTACATTGCGTACTGCAGACAACCCTTACTGCCTACTGTACATTGGGTACTGCAGACAACCCTTACTGCCTACTGTACATTGGGTACTGCAGACAACCCTTACTGCCTACTGTACATTGGGTACTGCAGACACCCCTTACTGCCTACTGTACATTGGGTACTGCAGACACCCCCTTACTGCCTACTGTACATTGGGTACTGCAGACACCCCTTACTGCCTACTGTACATTGGGTACTGCAGACAACCCCCTTACTGCCTACTGTACATTGGGTACTGCAGACAACCCTTACTGCCTACTGTACATTGCGTACTGCAGACACCCCCTTACTGCCTACTGTACATTGGGTACTGCAGACAACCCTTACTGCCTACTGTGTACTGCCTTACTGCCTACTCCTCCTCTGTCAACAGGTTGATGATCCATCTGCCAGCGATACTAGTACGAACTCTACCAGTGAAAACTCCACTACAATCGACAACCTGAATGCTACCAATGAGACTAATATGAGTACTCTTATAACAGAGGTGGTATTTGCACAATTCTTGGATGAATCTCCTAGTGGAAATGTCCACATTCAGGTAGATATTATCTCACCATGTGTAGTGTGTGCAGTTATCTGTGCTCTATCTCCACTGTAAACTTACTCATGGGTTAAGAATAACAGTTGTAAACAAAGACCTTCGCTGCAGTTCCATTGACATGTGCCTTGCTTATCGCACACAAATGGAAAATGTAGGGCTGTTTTTGAGGCCATACTAGAGGTTTTTCTTGCCTACTATGTAAATGTGTGTTTAGATATAGTATATATAATAATATGTATGTATATAATATATATATTCAGGGCTCAAGTATTGCACTGAATATTGACATAGAGGGCTTTGGGAATTACTGTGTGGGCATCAAATCAAAGCCAGTAGTTTCCTCCATTCGTCCTCATAACATGTTTGTTCTTGGCACGGAAACACTTATCCAAACCTTACTGATGTATCCCATGTTTCCCTGCTTCCTTCACCTCTCTAGATTCGAAGTGTCAGCATGACAAAAATCCCAAAATGGAGCACACCATCACTTACACACCAACGCCAGGCCTCTCTCCCACCTGTGAACATTATGGTGGGGACCCCTGACATCATTAGGGACGACGTGAAGAATTTGATAGACGTGAAAGTTGAGGTATGTTACATGCATGATGAGTATAAATGTAACTAATAGAATACAGACCATGTACTTAATATGCCAAAAGCTCTCTGCCAATGAGTTTCTTTTTACTGTTACAGCTCGTGTGGGAGCTACCGATGATAGTAGAAGACGAAGGCACAGAAGCTCCCGCTGCCACTAGTTTCGTGCTCGCTTTCCCCTCGTCCTCCTTTGTCATTAGTCTCATCCCGTCCCCCTCTCTCTTCCCCTCTCCCTCCCCTTCCCCCAATGAGAGGAACAAGAGGCAGGTCGAGGGTGGAGAGTCAGAGACTGGTTCTGGTTCCGGACTGGGCAGTGGCGATGATACGGTCCCGCCCCAACTGCCAAACATAACAGCCATATGGGCCTACATGGGAAAGGCTGAACTCGATACATATGCCCCAAGACCAGAAGAGAATGTACAAGATTTCAAGGTAACAGAATAAAAATGGCTGAGTGTGTGTGTCACTTTAAGTCGTGGTTTTGGTTTCTCTCCTAATAGCCAGATGAGACAAGTGGTCCAGTGAGCATGACTTTCTCCACTCAGGAGAAAGAAAACCTTACACTCTATGTACAGGTAATGACAGAGACACACGTTTTTATACCACACTTATATAATATGAGCCTTTCATTCTGTGCATGTGGGTCATCATTTATGTTGCACCACCACCAACAGATGCAGATTGAGAGAGAGGGTAGCTTCCCTACCTGGAGTGACCCCAAACGCATCACAATTCCCCCAGTTACTCCAGCCACTAAAGGAGGTGCGCTTTGTCATTTCATTACCATCCACAGTTGTCCATGCATACTGGTATAAATCCAAGGCTTATTGCAATAGGTATGCAGAAACCTTAGGAAGCCTTAAGCCACTGTGGTTTTGTAATTTGGCAAGACTAGTAATGCAGAGCTATTAGTTGGTTTTTGGCTTGATACCACAACTAATACAGAGCCTTTCCCACTCTCTATCCTTCTTCCCCTCCTATGTAAGTATCTCTCCCATGTATATCTCTAGTGAGGGTAACGGAAGGAACAGTCCCAACACTCCCCATAGCTCTCTCAGTTGTGGGAGCTGTTGTTCTAGTACTGATCATCGCTATTGTCATTGTCATCTGCTGCATCTGCTACAACAAGAGGCAGTATAAGGTATATACACACACACAATAGTGATATACTGTACCACATACAGTACATACATACTGTACCACATACAGTACATACATACTGTACCACATACAGTACATACATACTGTACCACATACAGTACATACATACTGTACCACATACAGTACATACATACTGTACCATTTTGACAACTAAAGGCTGTTTACTCCCCTTTACAAACTTGCATTGCTGTTCCAAAACCCAAAAATAAACTTCTTAGACTCTTTTGCATCAGACAGGGTTAAGGTTAACATTGCACTAGAATCACCAAGACTTCCTTTTGACGTACCTATAATATAGGAATAGCGTCTAAGGCTGGGTTCACAATATATGTTGCATTGCCCCATTCATGCTGCATTGAGTCATGTGTGGTGAAGATGGAAATTGGGAATGGGGATGGCATGCCACATGGTGCGATGGGGCATTGTGATGTACTATGAACCCAGCCTAAAACCTAGCTTTTATCAGGTAGAACTTTGTTGTTTTGGAAATGAAGACTGCCGTTATATCAAACAGATAATAGCAGACGGACAAGAAGATGCTCTTGATATATACTCTCGTCCGGGGCTCACTGGTCTGTACAGCGGAAAGGGTCCCATTCTGGACGAGTGGGAAATCTCAACCGATGATGTCATCGTCGACGAGCTATTGGGGGAGGGGGCATTTGGAGAGGTGTACAAGGGGGTGATACGAGGACCGCTCGAGAATCCAAAGATTTCGGCTGTCCTGAGGCAGGCTATTGGTGTCCCTGTTGCCATCAAGCTTCTCAAGAGTAAGCTCTATTGTGTACATACGTTTGTGTATATAGGCCACTTAAAACTATGCTACGTACATCGTAAGGAGTACATGACCATATTAGACAATGTATGTGAACACAAACAGCACTGCTCCCAGGACAACAGGTGTTTTATCACATCGCAAGAAATCCATATCAAACCCACATTTTATCAGAGCAAGCTGAAAATGAGTATTTGTGTTTGTTGCACTACAGCAACGTCTGCCGGGAAAGAAAAGGCCGACTTTCTGGCAGAGATTGACATGATGAAAAAGATAGCCGAGGGGTACAACACCCACATTGTCAACATGGTGGGCTGCGTCACACTCCAGGAGCCCCTCTGCCTCATCACCGAGTTCATTCCCTATGGAGATCTCCTCTCCTACCTCAAACACCAGAGGAAGAAGGTAAAACAGTCTCAATGCATTTCGGTATCTAAATCTTGCTTTATACTTTGTCCTCTTTGATTTTATGTGTATGCCTGTCTGCTTTCAGTCTTCCAGAGCTGTTGTCACTAGCCATTTGTCTCTTTTCCCTTACACTACTTGAGTTTTAGAAGTGCATAAGTGCTCGCACAGATGTCGAGTAATTTAGATATAGAGAGTGATATACGAGAACAAGATGGTTCAAAGAACTGTTTTAGGGGTGCTTGTAATCCAAGCTACATTATGATGATTGGGCTGAAGTTGTTAGTCCAAGAGAATGAAGTGGGGAGGTGTTTAAGCTTTAGCTACATGTAAACTCAGGAAGGGTTTTTTAAGTCTACATGCCCATGTAAGGGCTGTAACTGTAGGTGTCAGTGACTTCTATAGAGGAAGTACTCCTACTCTGTCTCTTGTCACTTCCTGTTTTCTGCTAACTGCAGGTAGCTAAGTGGGCTAGGAGCTAAGGCTTTGGAATTTAATCAAAAGCCCACTTCCTTTCTGTAGATACATGTGTGCATAGTTCATAGCCTTCTCCTACACCCGTAGCTAAGTCTTGTTGACTATGGGTGTACATAACATGTAGGCTTCCTTCCTATATTCCACTTCAATGTCTTCCTTCCCTTCCACCGAATGTTGCAGCGATCAGAGGCACGCAGGAGAGAGAAACTGCGACAGCAACAGGGGTTAGAGCACGGGCAGACAAACGGAGGAGGAGAGTCGTATGAAATCATGATTACACCAGGAACACAGCAAGGAGGAGGAGGAGGAGGAGAAGGAGGGGGAGGGGGGTACGAAGTGATGACACCTGGAGGAGACACTACTACTACTGGTGGTGGTGGTGAAGATGCATACGATGCTCCCATACTTCCAAGCCCTGCCCCTTACCTGGTATAAAACCCATTATGTAACGAACCCTAGGGTGTGACATGAAGTCACAATTAGTAACTATAGTAGCTATGTGACCATCAGTAGTGGGGTGGTAAAGTGGCTCCAAGAGTCTTGTGGGCAGAGAGCATATGTTTCTTAGGCTCTACCCACCACTTATGTAGTAGTCATTGTTGTGAGATGACCACTACATAGTTTCCTCAGAAAAACCACACATATCCAATGTACAAGCATTTAGTTCCCTCTCTCTTCCCTCTCTCTTCCCTCTCTCTTTCCTCTCTCTCCCCTTTCCCTTCTTCTCTCTCTCTCTCCCTCCCCACTCTCTTATTCCTCTTCCTCCTTCTCTCCATCTTGCCCTCCATCTCCTCTCTCCCTCCCGTCCTCCATCGTGCAGGAGACTCCAAATGCCTATTCCCACCTGGAACCCAAGACGACAGAAGATCCTCAAACCCCAGAAGAAGACCACAGTCAATACAAGGATCTCGGCGACATTGAACCTGATGACCTCATTCGATTTGCCTACCAGATTGCCAGTGGGATGGTGGGTTTACTCTCCTAGTCTATATCACCACCCACTCTTCTACTTTTCCTGGTGGCTTCGTGATATTCTTGAAAGTTTACATTGAAACCCCAAAGATTACTTAGCCTTTGGTGCCTCCACAAAATACCAACCTTTCCATGTATTGCATGTTGTGCCAATTGTATACCACATACATCAACTGTGCAGTATCAACTTTTCCTGTGTACAGGTAGCAATGGGTGGATGTCCTTGTACTATCCAAACATTCCCACCTTCACTTCACGTCCTCTCTCTCTCTCTCTTTATCCTGCTGTTTTCTGTGCAGGAGTACCTGGCCAGTTTGAGCATTGTCCACCGTGACCTTGCCTGTCGTAATGTCCTCATTTCCAAAGACAAACTGCTGAAGATCACTGATTTTGGCCTGTCTCGCGAAGTCCAGGTTTGTACCCACTCACTTTAAGACACTATACACAACCTTCTTTCAATGTACTTATGTTTTTAGTATCCCCCCTAGGAGAGGAATGCTCTCTATACCTGTTGCCCTAATTCCCGAATTTTTAAGTTGGGATTCCTCTCACAGACCTAGCGTAAACATCTACGTGTTGCCATAGAAATCATAATGGGGTTGGCTCACATTCTCCATTGCTGCTGTTGAACCACCATCTTCCCTCTCACTATCCTATTTTCCTCCTCTCTCTCTCTCTCTCTTCTCTTTCTCTCCCATCCAACCACAGGAAGTGTATGTAAAGAAAACTCGAGGTCGCCTGCCTCTGAAATGGATGGCTATTGAGAGTATCACTGCCCGTGAATTTACCACTGCTTCTGACGTATGGGGCTTTGGAGTCGCTCTCTACGAAATTGGAACAATTGGTAGGGGCACCCGTAATATTATTATTATTATAGCAGTCTAGTTTGTTGTGGAGCATTCCAAGGATGGTGTTACACGGTTTACACTTGTCCTGATGATGTGAGTTTGGTTGCTGTTGATGGTTGGACAAGAGGAGGCTAGCCAAAAGCCAATTAATAGCTCAAAGTGTGGGGACCCTGCTACATTAGTGGGTTGTAATCCTATTTGTACACCACAATGTCCAGCAATTATAATTATGGACAACGCGACAGACAGACATTGTGTACACAGCATGGCTTACTGTTCATTCTCATAGTGTTGGAATATATTTCAGATGCTTTTAAAAATGAAAACCACATGCAACAACAGCACTTTTTCCCACCTGCATCCTGTAACTCTTAACATGATACACAATGCAGCTTTGTAGTACGGTCTATCGTACCCATACATTTGAAGATACAACTATGTCTTGTGCAACAAACTATGCGTCAAAAAAACTTCCCATGAACGGCCCCGTGCACTTGCATCGTGGATCATGGCTTTTACATACATTTTGTTTTTTAATACATGTGTTATAGAAGAGCAAGTTCATGTATAATTATGTCTGTGTGCCGTATGCAGGAGGGTTCCCCTACCCGTCAATCAATAATGAAGACCTCCTCAGAATGCTGAGTCAGGGATACCGTCTTGAAAAACCTGACAACTGCTCTGCTGAAGTGTAAGTTACTAGAATTTTTATTGGGTCTTTTTGGTCCCTCTTCAACGTCCTACAATGCTGCAAATGTTATGCAATCATTGTAGTGAGGTATTGCGACAACAAAGCTTATTTTGTGTGAAAGCTAGGGTGGAAGCTTTGTGCAATTTATGATGTAGAATCCACGTGGTTAAGTTAGAAGACCTTTTTACTGCTCTTCCTATCAACTTGTTCATTCACACTTGTTATAGCTGAAGCTTTTAAGCTAAACATTCCCAGTTTAACCATTATTGCTTTAATTAGTGAGAGCCTGATATCAGTGTTGGTAGAGATGTGTTGAGGATATGGTAGTAATTAGAGGGAGACTGTTGTGGGATTGGCTGGCTGGCCTCACAATAGTGGCTTACACAGCTGCCAACCCTCTCTTGTGACGTATAGCAGCATCACAACCACCAACGCCAAGAACCATGGAACCACATTGGCCCCTCACACAACAGGAAATACCTGTTTCGCCAATGTCATCTCCTAGGTTTCCCCTATAGGTCCTATTGTTTGTTTACCTTCCCATGACTTGACTGAACAAATCACAATTTGGCACACATCTAGATAGTTGATGTGACGTATGCCATGAATTTGGTGACTTGAACCTACGACCTACGTAGATAATCGGAAGACAGTACATACATACATACATACTTCACTGTGTGAAGGTTAACAAGTGGTGAACCTACGTAGATAATCGGAAGACAGTATATACATACATACTTCACTGTGTGAAGGTTAACAAGTGGTGAACCTACGTAGATAATCGGAAGACAGTATATACATACATACTTCACTGTGTGAAGGTTAACAAGTGGTTAACAGCACCTGTGTAGTGTACATTGTATTCTCCGTCTCATTTGTAGTTTCAGTAACCTAGAGTCATTTGACCTTTACATAGTACGTGGTGATGCACGTGGCAGCATGGACCAGTGATGGGCAGATATGTGTCAACATCTCTCTCTCACATATTTTGATAAAGGCACACCAACACCTGTGGGGACTGCCCAAAGTATAAGACGAGGACGCTGGTGTGGCATATGCTTGTAGCTAACCTGTGCTTCACATGGTCATAATCAGTTGCAATATTGAAGTACATCACACAATACAAAACCTTAGAATCAGATATTTTGGTAACCTCTCTGTTACTCTCTAAATCACTATATAGGTATGACCTGATGCTACATTGCTGGCAGGAGGACCCACCAGATCGTCCATCCTTCTCACAGCTCCGTTCCCAATTCAGTGCCATGCTCCAGGCTGGCTCTGCCGAGGAGTACATTGACCTCCAGATTAACGAAGAGGCCCCCTACTATCAGATGAGAGACGAGGACAGGAGGGAGAGGAGCGACTCGGCCAGCTCTGAGAGCTCAGAGGGGAGCATCGATAGCCTCACCAAAGAAAAGATTCCGAAGGAGAAGAAGAAGGTGAAGCGAAAGAGGACCAACCCCTACGTCTCCACTCCACAACAGCAGCAACAAAACCAGCAGGAGGGAGGTGAAGATGGGTATATACCAATGGAGAGTGCAGGATCTGCTCTGGATGATCGCCCGGTTCAGTTAGGAATCCCCATCAGCCAGCTGATGCCCGCCAACGATAACCAGCCCACCCCGGTCAACGAGGTTGAGACACCGCTCGAGAATCGCAGGACCAACCCTTACGTCACCGAGCCTTCCGAGGTTGCAGACGGGAGCCTCGTGGCGTCCTCCGTGCCCCTGGTCGTTACCACTGATGGAGTCATGACTGTACGCGACTCAGTCATGGAGCTCACAGAATCCACTCACCTCTAGACTTGTCTCTGGGACAGACACACAAAAAAAACAAAGTCTATTGTCTATATCAGTGTCCATATTTACTTTTTGTTCTGTTCCCTCATTTTTCATGCTTAGATATTTTTCATTTGTGTGTATTACTCATTGATATTATAAAGATGGGCACTGGTCTTCTTTAGTGGTTGATAGGTGAATGTAGTTGATCTCCCATACAACCTTTTTCTAGTATAAGTATACAGGTGCAGCTCAATAATGATGAGCAAAGAAAATGATAACATGTTGTATGTGTTATAGTTGACTAGATCAGATCAAAAGTTTATCAAAACTGCATTTACTAATAAACCGGCGATTGCAACACCAACCAAGAAATCCTGTGTATCGATCAGGTACGTCTGCATGCACCTTAGCAGTGTTACCGTGTCATTCACAGTTATTAGAGACGGTCATGTCAACTTTCCCAGCGGATGTTTTCGTTTTTCTTCTGCCGCCACTGTCCTCCTTGCCCATGAACATCACCAAACACCGAGCTACCTGTATACACAGGTCTCGGGTTGACAACCGGACGCACAGCCGCTCTTAGTCACACTTTCGAAACTTCTTCAGTTGATGTTGTTGATGCAGGGAAAATGCGACAGCATTTCTGTGTGTTTTGACTGTACGTACGTGCCGAATCGCGGCAGGTGCTTCCGTTATGAGCATGCGTAAGGTCGTAAAACAAACACACATGCGCAGTCTAGAGTCTGAGACGATCCATAAACTTGCACCCTGTAGCGCTACTTTGCAGATTTTTGCAGTCGCTTCGGCATTGGTGCTATAGTTGCGCAGCGGCCGATCGCCATCATGGCTCCACTCGGTTCATCTCTTTTTGTGCTCATATGCTGCATATTTCTCTACACCGGCAGAATCCAGGGGCAGAGGTAGCTAACTACGATGTGTGTAATTGCAATAGCTACGTATTATGGTGGATCTTTGTTGGTTTGTATCAATAGCGGTTATAATGATGACGGTGAGGGACTTTACAGTGGAGGTGAAGAGAGTGGATCTGGGGCTAGCGGCAGTGGTGACGACATGAAGGAGGGAGATGGGGAGACGTGGGAACTGAGAGTGAACTGGCAGAGTGTGTGGATGTCCTTCACAGAGAAGATGACGAGGGAGATGAGTTGACCTCTTCCACAGCCTACAATGCTGCCATGTGCAGTGTCCTCTGCATGGATAGCATCACTAACAGCCAACATTACCAGGTGTGTGTAGCTATACTGTGTGTGTGTGTGGTGTGTGTGTGTTACCCTTACTTACAAGGGTAGTTTGAAGCCGTGAATTGCTTAAAGCTGAAAGGGAGTTTAGAGATGTTGTTTTTGAGTCCCCAAGTTGTACACCCCTCCCTGGCTTGCTGCTGTTGTTTGTACCAAGCACTACCAGACACTATACTCACTGAAAATAAAACTGCTTGCACCCACATTGAACAAGGAAGGTAAATAAGCTGTTTACAGGAATGGGTCTAGCTCACCTTATATACTGCCCTCTGTTATGTTAGGATGTTCAGCTGGAGAATGTAACCGCTGGAGGAGGAACGTGGGTGTTCAAGTCATTCCCACAGTTCAACTCAGAGAATGAGAAGACAAACTGCAAGACCTACCAAAAGGTCTGTTATACGGTGTTGGTGCCTAACTAAGTAAAATTGACATGTGTGTATTGCTCTGTAGTTTGCCGAGTGTGTCAGAGGTTGTCTGGTGAGAGTGGATCCAACTTCTGCTCAACTCAACTATCGGGGCTGCAGGAATGAATGTGTAAGATTTCCTTGATATTCTTGATGAACACTACATCTATTGTAACTGTATTTGACAGAAAGTGCAGTGTAAGGGAAGAGAGAAAAATTGATGACCACTACTTCAACCCGTACTGCAGAATTGACTGTGTAAGTTTCCAAATGAGATTCGTAACAAATTGTTCTATTGTGATGTGCTGCAGAATGCAGCCGTCTGCAGACAAGGTTGTGACAACTACGAGAGGATTGTGCGCTCCTTCAATGCAGCAGGTAGCCAGCGAAACTACACACTATATGCTACTGCACTACAGTGGAACCTCCTAACAAGGGACACTATGGGACCAATGATTTTTATCCCTTGTAGAGAGGTCGTCGTTCCTATCTCGGAGGTCACAAAATACAAATTAGCATGGAAAAAGTGTTCTTGTAGAGAGGTCGTCCCTATCTCAGAGGGTCCCTTATCAGGGGTTCCACTGTATTAGCTACAGTGTGTTGTAGGAAGGTGTTATAAGGGTAGCTAGTGCTAGCGTGGATGATCCTCTGCAGTTTGTGTTGTAGTAAGGATAGAGTATTGTTTATATCGTTCAGGGTCTCCACAAAGTCCTGTCCAGGCACCACAGTTAGTGTTCTCTACCTTACTGGGAGATGTCATATTGAGCATCTCAGAATCTGCTCCGCCACCTAACGACCAGGAACATACCCCTGCACCAGTGGGAATTGTCTACCGTGTGGTGGACCAGACCACAAATTATACCAGATACTTTCAAACGGTAACAGAAGAGCTTAAAAATATTGTGCTTGGATGCCTTATAGGTTAATGCCAGTGTGGGTAGAAGCCTGTTGTCTTGTCATTTCTAACAAATGCATTGCCCTATGCCCACCAAACAGCATCTACAAGGGCCTTGGAACACTGCAAAATAAACGACAAACATGCTTTTTTTAACCCACACGGAGCTTCCTGTCTGTGTTTACTTTCCTTGCTCTGTACATATGGCCACACACGAACTCCCAGGTTTCCCCGGATGAACCTCTCTCTCTGGAAGATTTTGCCTGTCGCACTGTCTCCGTATCTTTCGTGGTGGTTAACAAGTTTGGAGTGTCTCAGGAGTCACCACCTCTCACTCTGAACGTCCCTGGAGGTATATATACAGTAAAGCCTCTGGTCTTGGGGACATTGAAAGATTCCTTTACTCAGAGTGTTTTCCATTATTCGGATGTGATATAAACTGCAGCCTTTGTAGAGAGGTGTCCTTTATTATCCTTTTTCGGATGTTTCACTGTATATTATTCCATCTTTCTGATTGTCAGGGGAGATTGAGCTAAGAGCACCAACAGACATAGACGTGGAAGAGGGCGTGGACAAAAGACCTGGCTTCTTTGGACATGCAGTACTCAGCATCTCCTGGACTCACCCACAAGGTTGACTCGGCTATCGCTCTTCCATAACCTTTCTATGACTCGTCTCTAATTTTCAGACTACGTGGAGGGGTTGCACTACTACATAGTGAAAGTTGCACGTAGAGGTAGTGGCAGGTGGAGGCAAGCAACTCACTTCTTCTCCAATTGTTAGCAATTACCTATGCTGACTCTGTTAGATTTGACCAACAGATATTTCCTCTGCAGATGTCTAATTCACTGACAGTGTCAGACAATGAGACTGGCTCAGGTGTCTTTCTCCTGGACTATAATGTAGTGATAGAAGTGTGCACGCGGAGATGGGGTGCAGATTCCTCTGAAGAATGCAAAGAAGAACGAAAATATCTATCAACTGGTGTGTATGCGTCGGTGTAGGTTGACATTGTGAACGTACACCTATATATCAACACGGCCAAAGAAACAACTATAGAAAACAGTTAAAAGAGCTGCTCCGGATGTTGGAGCACTTTGTGTATTAGCTCTGCCACTTTATGTATCCTTGCTCATTCCATGCAGAATTATTCCTATGGCAATTTGTGTTCTTTAACGATCTCTCTTTTCTATTCAGTGGCACATTTGGAGAAACCTATGGCTGTCACACACTGTGTACCCCACTGGAATGGATTGGACTTCGATTTCACTATCCACTGGACTGTGCAGGAGTTTGTGGCCTATGGAAATGAAATTTTCCGCGGTTTTCTGGTGGTCATTGAAGACAGAATCGCCAAACGATTCATACGTAGTAACGATGTGAACAAGATAGCTAATCAGACAGAGTACTCCTACAAGTGGTTTAATTTACCACCACTGGAGAAAGACACAACATATAAATTTACGGTAAAATCTTAATCTGTTCAAAGACAGTTTTCTGTGCCATAGCAGAGAGTTTGGGTTTGCCTTAGCCTTGGAATGCATACTCTTACCCCAGTCTGCTGAGCTGCCCTGATAGCTCGGTGGGTAGAACACTTGTCTAGAGAACGAAATATGTTTAATGTGTCGGTGATTGTGTCATCTTTGGCAGCTGACGGTCCATCTTCCTGTGAATTATCTTCATCCTCTGTTCCTTTACTCTTTCTATACAATGTATGTAGGTATCTATTCAATGGCAGTCATCGGATAGTTACAAGCAACCTTCAGTTTTCGATGCCAGTTGCACAAGGCCAGCAGTTCCACCTCCCTCGAGTCCAGTGCTGGATGTGAGGCTATCAGAGTTTGAGTTTTCCGAGGAAACAATGGAGGTCCAGTTCCGGGTTGAGTGGAATCCCCCCACAACTCCAAATGGGCAAATCACGCACTACCTTGCCTGTCTAGGGGGCCGCAACATCCCCAATTTTGAAGAGGGACCGGGTGACGTGAAGGACGGAAATGATACAACTTGCCAAAATATAGACAAAGTGAGATACTCCTTGGCAAATGAGTGCTTGTTTAGATGCTTACTCGGTTTTGTGCACAGGAGAAGAGATCCTTTGTCTGGAAGACTAGGCTTCCTCGTCCAGACTGCATCTATTTCCAGGTGAACTAGAGCTGCACAGACACATGAGCTTAAGATAGTTTTACCCAGTTACACCCGTCAGCTGCACATCGGCAAGGATGATTCACATTATTTCTTGCCTGTCTCAGTAGAGAAGTAGATTAGCTTGGGCCAAGAAGCTGTTTTACCCTCTCAGTATTGCAAAAAAAAACTACGCTAATTTATGACATGGTTTGTTGCTGAAGTGTAGCATGTGATGGAGATAGGAAATACTTCATTGCATCACGTTTGCTCCTGTGGTGTATTTGAGCCAATAATACTGGATCTGTTTCAGATGAGAGCCCACACCAAGCTGACAGGAGCTGGAAGCTGGAGCGAGGCCGTCATAATCTCCGACAAAGACATTTCCAAGACCAACACCTGCAGCACTCCGCCGTCCTTCGAACCACTCCAGGCCCAGAGGGAGAGTCCGGAGTCTTCAGCGACGTATGTCCCAGTGTTGGGTGGACTGGGAGCAGTGATTGGTCTCACTCTGTTGGCTCTGCTCGTGGCTCTGACTGTGGTGTGTGGCAGGATCCGTAGGAGGAAGAGGAGAATACAACATGTGCTGGCCAGACAGGTATGACTGAATTGGAACCACTCTCTGTGGACACCAGGACATATCTCTAATAAGGACACCTTTTCTTTCCCTAAGAACAGTTTTATAAACGCGGACACCTCACCAATATTATTATTTCTGCCCAATTGGTGTCCTGATTAAAGGGGTTACTCGTATAAACAGCTTAAAACCATAGGTTTACTCTGTGTGTGCATGCAAAACCATAATATAATTCTTGGTACAAAAAGCCTTTTTCTCTCTCAGTATGATGTCCTTTGTAGACAGAGTGTTAAAGGAAATCATAAGTACTGATGTAATGTTGTTTTATACTTCAGATGAGTGATGAGATGGATCTCATGTTCACTGGAGGTGCAAAGAAGTCCCTGTCATCCCGGA